CCCCGCCCCCCTCTTCCATCCTCTTCCAGACCCCCTCCCCAGCCCTTCGCGTCCTTTCCCGTCCTTGCTCCCCTGCACCCCTGCTCTCCTGAACCATGGTTTTCCACCAGCTTCCGGACTTCGGCCAGGCCGTCAGCCTCGGTGTGCGTCTTGCCCACCTGCCTGTGTGACTTCCGCCCGCCGGACCTACTCACCTCCCTTGCACCTCCGTTGCCCCCCCCCCCCCCCCATGGCCGCGGCGTAGACCACCATCATGGCGGTCAAGTTCAAGGATGGCGTCATCCTGGCGGCCGACTCGCGCACCTCCTCCGGCTCATACATTGTCAACCGTGTGGCCGACAAGCTGACCGAGCTCTACCCGGACTCGATCTACTGCTGCCGGTCCGGCTCGGCCGCCGACACCCAGGCCATCGCCGACATCATTCGCTACTACCTGCAGGTTCATGCGTGCGTTGCCCCGTCGGCGTCTGGGCCCTTCGGCCTTGCCTTGGCCGCCATCCTCCCTTGCGCCCTTCCTTGCCTTTCTCCGGGGCGCGCCTCCTTTCTGACATGCCCCCCAACAGCGCCGAGCATGATGCCCCGCCCCCGGTCGAGATCGCCGCCAACCTCTTCCACAAGGTGTGCTACTCCAACCGCGGGATGCTGTCCGCCGGGCTGATCGTCGCCGGCTGGGACAAGGCTTCGGGCGGTGCGGTGTACAACATCCCCCAGGGTGGCTCGGTTCACCAGCTGGACATCAGCATCGGTGGATCCGGTTCCATCTTCATTTACGGCTATTGCGATGAGTTCTACCGCCCGGACATGTCCAAGGAGGAGTGCCTGGACTTCTGCCGCAAGGGTGCGCCGGCCTCTCTTTCTTTTTCGTTGCCTCCACCTGCCCCCCCCCCCCCTTTCGCCGGGTCCCATGGCGTTTTTTTGGAGCCTGTGCGGTCAGTCCCGGCGGCCGCGTGCTTACTGATTCCTGGCGCATGTTCCCTCCCCCCCCCCGCCCCATCTCCCCGCTCCTGGTCCGATGTCCAGCCGTTGCCCTGGCCATCAGCCGTGATGGGTCTTCTGGCGGTGTCATCCGCACGTGTGTCATCACCGAGGCCGGGGCTGAGCGCGATGTCATTCCTTTCTATGAGGTGAAGATCGGCCCGCCCATGGGTGCCCCGGGCGCCGCGCCGGCCGCCGCTGAGGCCGCCCCCATGCAGACTGACGTCGAGGTCCACAGCGACAACTAAGGCCGCGCATGCACAGGCACAACTTCCCCGCCCGCTGCGCCTTTCTCTTCGCCACATTCTCGCCATCCCGCCCTCCCCTCCCTCGCACGGCCATCCTCCCTTCTTTCGGCTCCAAGAGCATCTCCCCCCCCCCTCCCCCTCCCTCCCCCCCTCTCTCCCCCGCTCGCGCCTCGGGGGTTCATGCGCCGTGTCACGTCGGTTCAGGGGGGAGGGGGGGCAGGGGGAGCCACCGGAGCCAAAGCAAGCCGCCCGCCGAGAAAAGAAAGCACAAGGCAAGGGGAGAATGCCCGCAGACTGCGCGCGAGGGCGCCCCGCGAGCCACCGGGGCGATCCACTTGACTTGTTTGTTTGTTTGTTGCCGAGCTTCAGGCAGTTGTAATATACCCACTCTCCAGAGACGAGGAGCAAGGCACAGCGCAGGGGCCCGGCCTCCGTGCAGCGGAGTCTGGCAGAGAGAGGGCGGCGAGGCCATATATGATGTGCAGCCACACGCGGAGGGGGGCACACACACAATGGCCGACTGCTTGCCCGTGTACGCGCGCGCCGCTAGCAGGCCTGCGCGCCGATGGACATGCCTGCGTGGGATGGACCAAGCTCGGTGGCCGGATTTTTGCCCAGGGTGCAGGGAGTCGCACGTCCGGGCAGGGACAGCGCGCATGTTGGTGGGGGGGACGGCCGGGGAAACGGTTCTCCCGAGGCATCGTCAAAAATGGCTATCGTGTGCGCGTGATCTGCCTGGGCCTGCGGGAGGGATGCCAACGTATTCGGGCGTTGGCGCGCGCCAATCTCGCCTTGAACCGCGCGCCGTCGGCGGACCCCGGCCTCTGTCCTAGCGTCCTGCCCCGGGGCGCGAGGGGGGGAAGGGCGGCGGGCCCCGAGGCGGCCGAAGACAAGAGCCCGGCAATCCCCGGGAGGAGGACCACCAGTCACGATTTATGGCCGGGTATGGCGCCCGGGGCGGCGCCGTCCGGCGCGTCTGGCACTGTCCCCGCCTCGCCCGCTCCCCTCGCTCTACCTCCTGTCTCGCCGCCTCCCCCCCCCCTCTTCCCCCCTCCTCCCTCCCTTTCTCTTGCTACTGTTCCGGCCGCGGTCCTTGGTTAGACACGTCCAGCGCTTGGGGTTCATCGCGGTCTCTACTCTCCCCTCCCCTCCCCCCTCCCTTTCCTCCCCCTCCCCTCCTCCTTCGGCTGACCATGTCCTTCCAGCAGCACCGGTACCAGCACCCGTATGGCGGGGCCGGCCATGGCACCAGCGGCGGGGGAGCCGGGGGCGGTCCGGCCAACCGGTCGGTCCTCAGTAGCCAGCAGCTGGACACCCATGCGCGGTCTTTGCGCAAGGCGACCGACGCCGCGCTCCGGGGCGTTGGCGAGCTGAGCGCCACGCACGAGGGCACCCCCTGGTATGTTGGCATTCGCGGCTCCCTTGAAAGTGGCCCATGGCCTGCCCGCTGACCCGTGCCCTTCCAGGAATGACTTTGCGCGTCACCACACCGGCATCATGAACCACCTCCAGTCTCTCGCGGCCCTGGTGGCCGACCCCAAGACCGCGGCCACGATCCTGGCCCCGCGGCGCATCCCCGCCGAGATGGAGCGCCTGGCCACCATCCCGGAGATGCTGCTACGCACGCGCCCGGTGCCGGAGGCCGAGATGGCGGCCCTGGAGTATGCCGCTCGGGAACGCACGCGCCTCGGCTGGTCCGGGTCGCTTGAGCAGGCACGCGAGCTGGCTCGGCGTGACCCGAGCCTGACCGGGCAGGCCGAAGAGCTGGAGGCGGCCGGACGCCTTGAGGATTTCGTCGAGGCAGCCAGCCGGGCATCCTCCTCCTTCGGCCAACTTCTGGCGGTTCTGCCCCCGGCTGGGGATACGCTCAGCTCGGCCGCCGCCCAAGCGACTGCCCAATCCCTGGGAGCGCTGGCGGCGGTCCCCCACCACCAGGCCGACACCATCGGCTCCTTCCTGCATGTCATTCACTCGGGCATTGATCTTCCCCTGGTGGCCCCGCCGGAGCATCTGGAGCGGGGCCTGGCTCGGTCTGTGGAGGATGTGCGCCAGTGGCTCGGCGCCCCGGGCGATGAGCAACGGGCCGGGGCCCTTGCCCCGCATGTCGCCGTCTGCCAGCGCCAGGCCGGCACGGTGGTCGGCGTGCCGCCCGGAGTGGTCATCGGCCCGCCGCCCAGTCTGCCGACCATTCGCCCGCCCGGGCTGGCCGGGCTCAGTAGTCTGCCTGTCGGTAGCTCGGCTGCGGCCAAGCCGACGGCGCCGGGGCCCAGCGGCCCGGCAGCCACTGTTCGCCGCCCGGCCCCAAAGCCTGCGCCTCCCAGGACTCGGCCAGCTGGAACGGCCGCCGGCGCCGGCGGCAGCAAGAAGCCGGCTCCTGTGGCGACTAAGGCTGCCCCTGGCGGGGGCAAGTCCGCGGCCGGCACCGCCAGCGCTGGCGGGGGGGCCGCCGCTCGACCGGCCCCGAAGGGCAAGGCCAGCACCCCGGCCGGGGATTCGGCCTCCGGAGCCAAGAAGGCCCCGGCCGTTTCCCGGCCCAAGTCCTCGACCGAGGGCGCCAGCAAGACGGCCCGGCCGGCGGCCGGCGGCAAGGCCACCACATCTGCCGGAGCCAAGTCGGCGGCCGGTGGAGCCGGTGCCAGCAAGAAGGCCGCACCTGCCGGGTCGGCCGGCGGTGGGTCGGGCGCCAAGTCGGCAGCCAAGCCCACCGCGGCCAAGCCCGCTCCCAAGCGGAAAGCCGCCACCCCGGGGGCTGGGGAGCCGGCCGCCAAGCGGGCCAACCCCGGCGCCGGCGCCGGTGCCGCCAAGTAGTGCCCCTCTCCCCGCACAATAGATGCCACTCTTTCCCCCTCCCCCCTCGACGACAGGCAGGGCGAGAGCCAGGGAGACAGAGAGGGGAAGACAACAAACAAGGGCAAGGGTGTATTCTCCCGGTGCAGAGAGGGGGGGGGGGGTAGGGGGATGGAGGGAGACGTGCGTGTCTGGACATGCGCATGTGTGGCGGCTGGTGAAGGTCGAGAGCGGGCGAGCGTCTAAGTGTAGATGGGGGCGCGTGAACGCATTTTCTCCCTCCGCCTTCCCCTCCCGGCCCCGCTGCCCCTCTAGACGGCCGAACGGAAGTACGAGTCCACGATGAAGCGCAGGTGGCGGACGATGTAATCCGCCTCGGCCGGGTCCGTCTGGAGGAAGACCACCTGGTCATCGGGCGACAGGGAAGACGCGCCGCCGGGGTAGCGTGAATGCACGCCGTGGTGGTGCGAGAGGTGGGCATCCGCCCCGGGGCCGGCCGCCGGCAGGGGGTTGCCCCCGGCCAGGCTCGGCTCGGCCATGGCTCCGGGCGCCGGCGGGGCGCCCACGCTGCTGGAAAGCCCAGCCGCAAAGGCCAGCCCGGCTGCCGGGCCGATGCCCGGCGACCCGCTGACCGAGCGCGAGCTACTGCTAAAGACGCTGAACAGTCCACTGGCCGGGGCAGCGGCCTGGGGCCCGGGCGAGACCACCGGCACGGCCACCGGGCCAAGCAGGGCCGTTGCCTGTGGGAAGCTCTCTTCCCCGCCCCACCGGGACCCATACCCGAGCAGGCACTTGCGCGGAATGCCCCCGAAGATGGGATGCAGGCCGCCCTCCTGCTGCAGGCTGGGGAGATTCCCATAAAAGTAGAAAGGTAGATCGAAGCTCCGATGGCGGTAAAGCTCGCTCCCACAAACGGCCAGCGAATCGGCGTCGGCCGCATGGGCGGGTGGCTGTGAAGAAAGGAAGTATCCGGACGCGGGCCCGGGCCCGAGCGAGGCCACCGGGGGAGGCTGCGTCGCGGAGGAGGAGGAGGAGGTGGAGGTGGAGGAGGAGGACGAAGCACCGGGCGCGGCGATCTGGCCGGCGCCCGAAGCCGGTGATGCTCCAGGCCGGCTGGCGGAGGGCGGCTGCCCTGGCGAGTCCTGTGTCGACAGGAGCGACGACACGGAGGAGGAGGAGGTCGAGGACAGGGAGGTTGAGGAGGAGGAGGACCGGGAGTTGGCCAACTGCGAATCCCCATCAGCCGAGGCGGGCTGCCCGGTGGCGGTGGTGGTGGTGGAGGTCGCGGCCCCGGGTCGGACATAGGGCAGGGCCGGGCCCGACATCGACATGGCCAGAGTCCGCCGCGAGAGGAAGCGCTCCAGGTAGAATTGGGACAGGTAGGCCGACAGGGTTGCCGATCGGCTGGATAGCCGGACCGAGGAGGTCAGCTCCAGGCCGATGGACGCATCGAGGAGGCCGGTGTAAATGTCCACCGAAAGCCCGGCCGGGGGGGATTCATCGCTCAGCAGGAGCGACGACTCATACAGCCGGAGGGGCAGGAGACTGTCGGCCGAGGGGAGAACCGTGTGGTAGGGCAGGTGCAGCGAGTGGTGGTGATGCGGCAGGAGAAGCTGGCGCTGCAGTGACAGCGGCAGATGCTCGAAGGGGGACGCCTGTGGTGACAGGACATGCGAGTAGTCCAGCAGCGAGGGTTCCGACGTGAGGGCCGCGCTGGCCGGGAGGCTGACCGAGCCGCGGCCACTTGGGTGGTGGGCGGGTGTCGGAAGCGACTCCAGGGGCCCCTGGTCAGCCGCGCGCAGGGGCGGCGACTGGCGGACAATCATGCAGATGTGCCCCGGCCGAAGGAGGAAGCAGGCGATCAGATGCTCGGGCGACAGGGCAACCTGACGAACCGGAGGGGTTAGAGGAGGGAGGGTGTACGGCTGGGAGAGAGGGAGAGAGGGAGAGAGAGAGGGAGAGAGAGAGAGGGAGAGAGAGCGAGAGAGACACTCGGCACGGCGTCCCCGCCACTGGCTCGTGGTGGTGGTGGTGGTGGTGGTGGTGGTGGTGGCACATACCTTCGGGCTGTGCGGGTCCTCCGGGCTGAGGATGAAGCGCAATCCATCGATGGTCAGGGTCCACCGCTCGGCCGGAGACCGGTCCCCGACCATGGGGTTGCCCCGATCATTGCAAATGGATGCCGGGAAGCGGACCCCACTCACCGGGCTGGCAATGTATGTCCCCTGGGGAAGGCGGTCCAGGAAGTAGGGGGCCGCGCTTGAGGGGAGCCCGGCGCCGGCGCCGGCTCCACCGACCCCGGCCCCGGCCGCGCCACCGAGCGGCCCATGTCGAGCACTGATCGGGGCCGGGCCGGAGAAGCAGGCCCCGATGATTGGCTGCGGTGGTGGGGGATGCCCCGCACCCGTGTCACCAGTCGGGGCGGCGGATGCCCAGAGAGACTCGGCCAGGATGGCCAGGCTGGCGATGAAGTTGTACAAGTTTGGCAGGGCCTGCTGCGAGGAGGAGCTGCTCGGGGAGAGGGCGCCGAAAATGCGCTTGGCCGCGCTGTTGGCCACGCGCAAGGCCGAGGACTTGGACCCGCTTGAGCCGGCGGGGTTCCCCGGGCTCGGGCCCGTGGTGCCGGTCGGCAGGGTGACCATGAGTGAGGGCCCGGCGGCAGGCGCCCCGCCGGGTGCGGAATAGCCCCCCGACCCGGGGCCCGCGACCGGTGCTCCATTGACCCCGGCCCCGGGAGGCAGGACCACCGTGACGCTGTCGGGCGAGAGGACCGGCGAGGAGAAGCCGGCCACCGTCGGGGTCGTCAGGGCCCCGGGCGCGCCCACCAAACTGGCCACCTGCATGGGGACCAGCAGGGCGAGCGGCGTGGCGGCCAATGCGCCGATGGTGGGGATTGGTGCCAATGCCCCGAGGGCTTGGTTGATGGATCGCGTGGTGGCCCCATCCTCCGAGTGCAGGAACATGGCCAGGGCCGATGGGGCTGACACCCGGAGAAGCCCGTACGTCCGGTAGGCCGACAGCATGTTGGCCGACAGCAGGGACGAGGCATTGGCCGCCGAGACCAAGGCCGCAAGCTGGTCATCGTGGGGGTGGTTCTCATTGGCCGGGCGGACATAGATGTCGCCGGCTAAATGTGTGTGACGACGGGCGCCATGGGCGGGGGGGGGGGGGGGGGGGGGGGGGGGGGGGGGG